AAATTTTATAATTATAATAATGATAGGGTACAAACGTGCAATGCACGTTCTCATAACTAGTAATAATTAGAACTCGCTAATAGTTGAGGCTAGGTAGATAATTGTTTGGATGATTTTAGATGTTAAATTATCTAGAAATGACCTCTTGTATTTTTCTACTATATAGAAATGTGAAGACAAAGAAAGACCAAGGGTAAAGAAGTAAATTTACACTAATAAATACATTTTCTTTATATATCTAGAACCATCCATTACATTCCGCCAAGGATAAAAAGGTAAATTTGTGACTAGATCTATGAATTGGAAGTGGAATTGACTAGAATTGCATCAATGTGATAATTATTATAGTGGTTGTTTGCATCTCAAGTTTCATTGTCTTGCACTAAAATTGTAACATTATCCATTAATGGAATTGAAACTTCAAACCTATGAAATTTGAATTTTGAATAATATGGCTTTTAACTTGACTTCATTTCACATTTATGTCCTCCAACTTTGGTATGCACAAGTAGTCAGTTTAACTTGTATAAAATTGAACAATTATACACATGAGTCTTACGTGACATAATACACACAAGACACCACGTAAGATGGAAATTGTCATGTAAGATGTCACTTAGGACACTTGTGTCTATTCAACTTTATACAAGATTAAACGTCTACTTGTGCACATTCAAAGTTGAAGGGCATATACATGAGTTGAGGCCAAGTTAAAGGGTATATTATTTTTATATTAGATTTAAGTTAATTTCACGGAATTCAGCCAATTGTCTTGATGGTGACTGTTCTACTCTTTTACAAAAATGTCGAGATGTACTAGTAATTTCACGAGATTCAGCCAATTTTCTTTGCACGGGAAAGCCACCGGGTTGAGAGTGGTTAAGGGAGACGTATTTGAAGGATCGAATCGATAATTTTGGAAGATTGAAGGTTGATAAAAATCTTAGAATCAAGGGTCATAGAAACATAAGGATTTGTTGTTGTTGTTGCAAGAGAAACTACATTTAAAGAATATATATGTCGATTTTAGAAGAAATTTTGATAATACAGCAGTAGCCAGAGGACCTGAAGCAGCTATCCATTACTTAAATTTTGATTCTATAATTCAATTGAGTTCTTACTTGATAAGGTAAGGATAAAGTCTATGTAAACACTCCACTTGTGGGACTATACCGTGTATGTTGTTATTATTATTCAATTGAATTCTAATGCTTCTTTGCTATCAGGAACTTAAACAAGGATATTCAGCTAAAAAAATGCTCTAATGACCGCGAAGAACTTGAAACTTTTGATGAGCGGAGGAAAAGAAAGCAAACTTGCAATATACGAGCCTCGAAGTAGTGGCTCAATTTTCATTCACGACGATCATTGGATTAGTCCCCGAGATGAACAAGTCTAAGGATTTATACGTTGGGAAAACAAGGAAGAAAATGGGGCTTCAAGCTAAGTAATACATATTATTGTTTCATTCATGAAATTTAAGGTCATTTTGAGTGTGAGAAAATGGTGCCATTTTATTGCCAAAAATTGAGTTCTTCTACTTACTTTTTGCTGTAGAATGTGCACATGAGTTGCACTGCTAAGAATATTGACAACAGATCTAAAAAGTTTCTCTTGATCTCGCAATTGTGTTCATTAATGTAGCTTTCATTTTTTTTCAAGTAGTTCAACCTTTCAGAAAATTTTCTAGCTCTGACCCTGACCTTGATATATGATTGTGAATCCATGTAATCATACGATCGACATTCATCTTGAATCAACCAAATTATCAAAATAGCATGAATTTTATACAGTACACAATAAAGTCACACAATTACTATTTGTCACATTAAAATAACACAGTAATAGCATCGAAACAGAGACATCTGATATTCACCAGACCTTTGTGAGCTTATAAAATTTGTAAATATCCTCAACATCATATCGTCATATATCATATCATCATCATCAAATCATATATCATCATATATTACTAAAAGTGGGAAGCTCCAAAGTGTAAAGTTGAAATACCATTTTACCCTTATACTAAAAACTTTTTTCAAAAATCATATATTATTAGTTATTATATATTAAATATAAATATTATGGGATGCAAAAAATCTATTTTCTTTTTTAATGAAACAGTAAAATGCCTGAAGAATTTGAAAAGTCAGTTTATATATTAAATATAAATATTATGGGATGCTAGAAATCTACTCTTTTTTTAATGAAATAGTAAAATGCCTGAGGAATTTGAAAAGTCAGCTTTTCATTATTATAATTATTATTATTATTATTAATAATAATAATAATAATATCATATATATTATTAAAAGTGGAAAGAAATTTAGGAAAAAGTTAATTTTTTGTTTTCCCCATATATTAAATTAAAATGTTATAAAATATCTAATTTATGAAATATTCTATCATTAATTAAGAATATCATATTAAGTTTTACAATAATATAATTAATATGTATTTGAGTTTACATACGGATGAATTAATTTCCTTGGTACTGCCACTTATTTCAATACTCTAGAATGACTTATCATTTTCCCATATCAATTCAATGTTTTAAAGTTCTTTTCAACTTCGAATAGTAAGCTTTCAGAATTTTATAAATAGCCAGATGAGTGAATCATGCTAGACTAGATCCATTGATGTTCTCCCCCTCCTCTTCTTCTTCTAAATTCATCTTCAATGTTACTGGTAAGGGTTTCATTGATATTTCTCATATGTCGGGGCTCTCTTAACCATCTATTAACTTATTATTATGCTTGATTATGAATTATTCTTGGGCTGCTGATAATTCTATCACGGCATACATAGTTTCTTCCTTTATAAATTGGACATAAAATGTTAGTCCACTAGACTTTCTTATGAAAATTTTAATTTATCGGTTATTCTTTCTTATTCAGATTAATATATTGTTTTGTTTAACCTTTTTCATTTTGTATGCATATGATGACATGTATATTTCATTGTTTTTTTAAAGTTAATTGGGTTGATATTACACATGTTTCTATACATAAGTTAGGCCTATATAAATTTTATATAATAATAAAAGTCAAACGTGCACGTTCTCATAATCATAGTCCATCAATGATTCATAATACAGAAATTGAATTGCGAAACTTGCAACTCACAACTATGCTCACCCGGAAAACTTCAGGAATCAGGACTGCTGAAACTTGGAAGCATCGAAAATTAAACTGGAAAAAACATTCATAAAACAAATTAGAAATCGAAAAAGTAACACAAACAGAAATCGTGTAAAATAATAAAATCGACATGCCTTTAGAGGAATATTTTCTGATAGAATTGAAGAAAGTGAATTAAACAAAGAAGAGCCAAGTCTGTAATATTTAATTGGCTCGGACACACTTTATAGTTGTTATAAGATGAAATTTTAAAAATGTGTAAATGAAGCATAACAATTAGGAGCTACGGGAAACATTTCTAAACAGGGAAAAAAGAAATTTATACCTCAAGCAAAGTACTTAACGGTGATCCATGTCGAAATTAATACCATCGAAATTTTCTATCTTATCACGACTTTGTATTCTTAAAAAAAGAAAATATTCATATCATTCGACATTTTTCCTTTACAACGTTAGAGCAAACATATGCATAAACTTGGGTCAGAAAATTAATTCAGTGAAATGTGAATTAGGCGACATCAACTTAGCAAACACTTCATAAAGGCATTTGACAATTTCTCATCTTCTATAGAATCAAGGCATGTATTATAACTCAATCAGATGACATGTAAAACTAAAGATAGAAGAAGATCAAGAAAAATGAAAATTTTGGATCAGCAGATGATTTAAACAACTTTCGAACAATGAAAACGATATTTTCAAAAGCAATTTTCCATTTTAAGTATCTGAATACCAGTAGAAAACCGATATACTCCAACATCATTGTGATGCAAAGTGGGGCAAAACCAATTTAGCGCCGCAGTAAGAAAGGGAGAAGAAAAAAATATTTGTACCTTTCCCACCAAATGAAGCAGGAATTGAAAACTTGGGTTGATTTCTTCTACTCTGTTGATGTCTTTTGTGTCATCAGAATTGAGGCTTGAAGCTCATGAAAATGGGTTCTAGAGAATTTTGAAACCGTTGATTTCTCTGTTTCGCAGACAGATGACTGATGAGGGTGACAATGAAGGAAATCTATTTTGCTGATTTATGAGAGTGCAAACTATTACTACAAAATAAGCATCTTGGTAACTGAAACACCAGTAAATCATTATTTTGTTATCTAACCTTGAATTCATCACGAGCAGTATATACTTCCTTGACTTTCGCTAGCTCTGAGGTGTCACTCAAGGTTGAGTAATGGACATAATTTGGAGGAAACTTCATGATCCTAGAAGTTCTCTGCATATCAAAACCAAAAAACTGATGTAATATTCTGGATCTTTGAATATGAAAAAAAAAAACTGATGTAATAATGCAGTCGCATCAAACTTGAAACCAATGTGGTACAACATGGCATAAATAATGGAAGCAGGCATTCAAAGTCGTTTTCACTTTCTTGAAATTTGAAGCTTGATGTAACTCTTATCAAGGTCTTGGCTACCTGATTGAGAAGAGTGAGGTTGCATTTCTTAGACCCTAACATATATTAAGCAATCAATTTTCTTGAGCAAATTATCTCAATTCCTACCTATACTAGATTTCTTTTACAAATATAAAAGATTTCATCCTGATCTAAAGATATTTCGTCGACTTCAAAGAAGCAATAGATGGTACACACTTGTCAAAAAGAATTAACAAACAATCAAAATATATTAAGGAAATAGAATAACTTACATCTATCGGAGCAGCACTCGTTTTAATCATTACAGGTTTTGCCAATGAACATATATGATTTGAGCAATAGACTTACCACACTGCTGAACAAGATTTCAAAAAAGTAAAAGAATTGACAAAAAAGCAAAGGGAAGAAAACAAAAATAGAATGCTTCTGAAGAAAAGAAAAACTTACATTTGTGAGAGCACCATTTGTTTTAACCATTACTGGGATTCACCATCGATCTTTATGGTGGGAATTTGAGCAATATTTGGCCAGTATTCCCCCTTGTCAAATTCTAGTAGTGGTGTGAGCAATGGACATTCTGAAATATATAGTTTAGAGAGGGAAGATGGCATCCCTTTTAATGGAAGAGAATGGAGATTAGGGCAATGGGAGATCCACAGCTGAGAGAGGGAGGAGGGCAGTGCTGATTCAGGAAGTGATTGGAGATTAGGGCAATTATAGATGGTCAGCTGAGAGAGGGAGGAGGGCAGTGCTGATTCAGGAAGTGATTGGAGATTAGGTAAATTCCAGATTTGTAGACTTTGAAGCGAAGTGAGGTGCAAAAACTGGCCTTGTTCCAGCATTGACTGAATTTGATGTAAATTACCCTCAATATGTAGAAGTTGAAGAGAGGTGAGGCTTTTGAGATGTTGGCTGCTTAATGTTTTCAGATTCCATATTCTAAGTGTTTGAATAGAGGAAGGCAACTCCCAGTTCTCAGCACCAAGAATCTCTTCATCACTGCCATCATGAGAGATCTCTAACTCTCTGAGATAGGGAAGTCTCTGTAAACGCCACTCCTTTCGGCCGTTCACCAGTTTCTTGCACTTGCCGATATGAAGTTGTTGTAAATTGAAGGGCAATCCTCCTTCAGGAAAGGACTCTATTTCTGGACAATTATCCAGATTCAGTTTCTTAAGAGATGGAAGGAGTTCCTGCATATGTTCTGGCAGACACTTCAGCTTCTTACAGCCAACAATAATCAGTGACGTCATCTGGGTCCCCCCACATGCCACCGATAGTTTTTCAACATTCTCACAATTCTGAATATGGAGTCTTTCAGTCACAGTAGGAATCAAAAACCTAGTAAGGTTGTGGCACTCATCTACAGACAAAGAGCGTGCTCTCAAGTGTGATATATCATCTATACAATTACATCCCGCCAGTCTCAATTCCTCCAGAAACATACTCATCTCACCCACTGGCGGATCCAATTTCAATTTCCGGCAATAAGATATGGATATTGTTTTCAAGGTAGTGGGCAGTATGCTAAAAGGAAAGGAGGTAACAGAGTTACAATTACTAATATGTAATTCCTCAATCTGCTTCATTCCCTCAATTTGGGATCTAAGCAGCTCAGCATCATCAAAAACAACTCCAACCTTTGGACAACCCCAAACTTCAAACCTTTTTAAACTTGAAAGTTGGATGGGTGTCTCCAAACTGAGTTCAGGGCAATTTCTAATTGAAAGGTTCTCAAGTGTAGGGAACTCTCCATTTCCTAATACGTGCCATTGCTTCCACTCCTGCATATCTTCAAATTCAAGCTTCTCAAGACAGTTAAAAGGCTTTTTGGAGGACAAATTGCCATAGAATTCTTCTGTCACCTCTGTTATTCCATGCATCCCTCTAATGATAAGATATTTCAAAGAAGGAAGCTGTCCTAGTGCCGGCAAGGAATAACAGTCCTTGCAGTTGCTAAGAGACAATTTCACCAGATTAAGAAACAAAGGATCAGCTAGCCAATTTGGAAATGTTGTCCCTCTATATCCAGTGATTTCGACTTCTTTTATGTTTTTATGTGGGCATAGCTCATCAAGTATGTCTCTTTCTGTTTTTGAATTGTCGGCACTACTACTTTCACTCCACTCCAAAGATAACTCGTCAACATGATTCTTCTCCCTCATCTTTGCCTTCACAGCTTCCCTTCTATCAACCACATTTTGCAACTCTAAAACAGATAAAGATCCATACAAGTTCTGTGCTTCACCCAAATCTTCCATTCTCAAACAACCGAGAAAAAACTTGGCTCCCATTAGCACTTGGAGGCTTTTCAACTTGCTCAGATGTAGGGGCGTCTCCAAGCACCAAGTGTTGCTTATGTCCAGATGACGCAAGTTGATCAGCTTCTCCATCTGCAGCGGTAGCTCCTTAAGATTAGTGCAATATGACAAGAGAAGTGTCTCTAAGTGATACAATACACAAATGGAATTAGGCAACTTTTCAATCCCTGTCCAAGAAAGGTCCAAAAATCTGAGGAGCTTTAATTTGATAAACAAGTCATTTGGCAACTCCTTAATCACGTAATGAGACAATGATAATGCCCTTAAGGATGTTAGTCTTGGCAATATGTTATGCAACACCCTCTTGCTTAGACTGTCTAAATGAATCACGCGATCAATACATATCGGAATCAATGTCCTCAGCTGCTCCAATTTGTAGAGGGGTGTCAATTTCTCAAACTCACCACCATATCCCTTAGAATATGATAAGTGTCGACTTTTTTCCAACATATGAGATCCTTGGCTCTCTTCCAACCTGATACAAAGTTTTGAAGATGCAATTTGGGCTAAATCATTGACAAGGTCATGCATTAGGAATAATTCCTCTATGTTCCTTTTAGAAGGATTTGGGACCTTTTCTAATAATGATCTTGATCTCAATTCGAGAAAGTATTGGTTGCCTGAATCTTGAATTATCTCATTGTCCTTTGGTACGAGACCGTTAGCATTCCACAGATGAATAACTTGTTCTTTCCTAAATGGATTATCTTTAGGAAATATTGCACAATAGGAAAAACATCGCTTTAAATGTGCGGGAAGATCATTGTAGCTCAACATCAACGCTGGTAATATGTCATTATCTCGCAGCTCCCATATTTCACATCTCAAAATACGTTTCCACTCTTCAACCTCTGATTTGGAGCGTAACATGCCAGCGAGCGTCTTCAGAGCTAAGGGCAGTCCTTTGCACTTATCTGCAATTTGTTTACCGACCTCTTCAAGTTCCGGATGTCCCATAAGATCCATGTTTTCAAATGCATGTCTTTTAAATAAAGACCAAGAGGCTTCAGTTGACAAATTGTCCATGCTAATTTCCTCCTTTCCCATCATCAAGGCAACACTCTCTTTACGTGTCGTCACAATGATCTTACTTCCTATATCTCCTTGTACAAAAGCATTTCTCAAGTCATCCCACTCATTGTAGTTGTCATTCCACACATCATCCAGAACAATAAGAAACTTCTTTCCCTTTAAGCTTTCCTTCAATTTGACTTGTAGCTGATTAAGATTGTTGTGGACATCCTTTGAGTCAAATGAGCCAATTTCTTTAAGTAACCCTTCCGTTATTCTCAAAGCATCATATGGCTCAGAAACACAATACCAAGCTTTCAAACCAAAATGGTTCTTCACCCTCTCATCATGGTAAACGGCTTTAGCAAGTGCTGTCTTACCCAGGCCGCCCATTCCAACAATAGGAACTACAGCCAGATTATTTCCCTTTGTATCCTTAGACAATAAACGACCAACCAAATTCTCTATATCATTCTGCCTTCCAAAGATACCAGAATCATCAACCAAAGAAGTTGAAGGTGTTCTAGTTTCTTGTTTAGTTGAACCAAAATGTTCCTTTAAGCCAAGGCGTCCAATTTGCTTTTCCAACACCTCCAATGTTTCAATGGTTTCTTCCAACTTCTCCTTTATGTTAAGGAAAAATTCATCAGTCAAGCACAGGTTGAGGTCACTTACTTGTTTGTTGCTTGTTTCTGCAAGATTTTGATGCTGGCCTTCCACCTTAAGCCTCAAAGCTTCATAATTGACTTCTTCTATCATGTTTTCAGCGCCATCCACAGCACTCTGGAGCTTATTAAGCCATTGGCTCACATGTCGATTTGATGCTTGCTTATTCTCTGCATCACTTAGCACAATCTGAAGACCAAGCAAAATGTCCTCCAGCTTCTTTAAGAGCTTAACATGATCCTTACGCTTCCGAAACATGTTGAGCAGATCACCGTGAGGAGCAAGCCTATCAAAGAGAACATTCAAAGCTGAAGAGAGAAATGCACCACCAACTGCTAAGCCAATCTCCATTTCTGAAATCTGCAAAGCAAAACAAGGAAACACAATATGATTCTTTAAGAAAATATATCTTCAAATTGTCTCAGTTAAGAGCTTTATTTTACCTGTTGAATGCTAAGAGTAATTTGCAAACAAGAAGGATCAGTGATTGCTCTCTCTCTTTTGCTTGTAGTTAGTAAAACTGTCCTTTTTACTCTTTTCAAAAAGTATAATTCAACTAATTGAATAATTGAGGCAATAATAGAGGAAGGTATCTTTTGCTTTATGTCTATTCATTACTTTTGTTTTTATGCACTTGTCCATTTTTCAACAGCTCATTGTATATCATGTATTACTATATTATAGATTACTATATTACAGAAGACTCTAGGAATTACTATCATTGTTCCAATAAGATCACTACAAATGTCTAATATATTTATAAAATATATAAGTGGGCCCCATCACCTTCCACTTAAATACTACATATTATATATTATTAATTACTATACTATAAATCACTACTAATATCCAATATATTTATCAAACTATATAAATGGGCCCCATCACCTTCCACTTAAATACTACATATTATATAGTAATTACTATACTATAAATGACTTAAATACTCCATATTATCTATTACAATAATTAACAATTATTTGACACTTTAAATTCTATCAATGCCATATAAATTAGGATAAAAAACCTAACATATAATATTTAAATATATTTAAAAATAATATAAGTAATACTATACATTACAATAATTAACAGCTTAATTATTTAAAACTTATATAAAAAATTTAATTGACTCTCTAAATTCTATTGGTACCACATAAAATGGATTATATAATAAACATATATTGTTTGAAATTGACGAAAAAGAAACAATAAATTACAATAATTAATAAAAAAATAGTCCACTCCAAAAAATCTATCAATTAACAACATATATTGTTTGAAATTGACGAAAAAGAAACTATAAATTACAATAATTAACAAAATAAATCTCTCGACTCCAACAAATCTATCAATTAATGCCACATAAATTGGGACATGGAAAATAACATATAGTATTAAAAATTAGGTTCAAAATGTACTAAAAAATACAATAATTAACAACTTAATATATTAAAGAGACATAAAAAAGGGTTAATATTTGAAATTCTGCATCTGCCACATAAATTAGAACAAAGAGAGTAATAAATATTACTTTCAAAATTATGTTAAAAAAAAGTACTACAAATCACAATAGCTAACAATTTAAAATATTTTTAAAATCATATAAAAATTTCAATAACTTCTCAAATTCCATAATATGACATAAATTTTTTTAAAAAGTGTTATAAATCATAATAAATAGTACAATATTTAAACTAATTTAAAAGTATTATAAATTGTAATAAATAATACAACAATTTAAATTACTTAAAATTTAACGACTTAATTTTTTTTTTTAAATGTATTAAAATTTTGGTTAATTGTCAAAACTTTACATGTGCCACATAAATTGGGACATGGACAGTCGCACATATTTTTTTAAAAAAATTACATTAAAAGTATTCTATCAATTAACAACATATATTGTTTGAAATTAACGAAAAAGAAACTATAAATTACAATAATTAACAAAATAAATCTCTCGACTCCAACAAATCTATCAATTAATGACACATAAATTGGGACATGACAAATAACATATATTATTAAAAAATTAGGTTCAAAATGTACTATAAAATACAATAATTAACAACTTAATATATTAAAGAGACATATAAAAAATGGTTAATATTTGAAATTCTGCCTGTGCCACATAAATTAGAACAAATAGAGTAATAAATATTATTTTCAAAATTATGTAAAAAAAAAAGTACTACAAATCACAATAACTAACAATTTAAAATATTTTTAAAATCATATAAAAATTTCAATAACTTCTCAAATTCCATAATATAACACTTAAATACTACATATTATATATTAATTACTATACTATAAATGACTTAAATACTCCATATTATCTATTACAATAATTAACAATTATTTGACACTTTAAATTCTATCAATGCCATATAAATTAGGATAAAAAACCTAACATATAATATTTAAATATATTTAAAAATAATATAAGTAATACTATACATTACAATAATTAACAGCTTAATTATTTAAAACTTATATAAAAAATTTAATTGACTCTCAAAATTCTATTGGTACCACATAGAATGGATTTTATGATAAACATATATTGTTTGAAATTGACGAAAAAGAAACAATAAATTACAATAATTAATAAAAAAAATAGTCGACGAAATTGACGAAAAACAAATTATAAATTACAATAATTAACAAAATAAATCTCTCGACTCCAACAAATCTATCAATTAATGCCACATAAATTGGGACATGGCAAATAACATATATTATTAAAAAATTAGGTTCAAAATGTACTATAAAATACAATAATTAACAACTTAATATATTAAAGAGACATATAAAAAAGGGTTAATATTTGAAATTCTGCATCTGCCACATAAATTAGAACAAATAGAGTAATAAATATTATTTTCAAAATTATGTTAAAAAAAAGTACTACAAATCACAATAGCTAACAATTTAAAATATTTTTAAAATCATATAAAAATTTCAATAACTTCTCAAGTTCCATAATATGACATAAATTAAAAAAAAAAGTGTTATAAATCATAGTAAATAGTACAATATTTCAAGTACTTTAAAAGTATTATAAATTGTAATAAATAATACAACAATTTAAATTACTTATTACTTAAAATTTAACGACTTAAAAATATTTTTTAAAATGTATTAAAATTTTGGTTAATTGTCAAAACTTTACATGTGCCACATAAATTGGGACATGGAGAGTCACACATATTTTTTTTTTAAAATTACATTAAAAGTATTCGATCAATTAACAACATATATTGTTTGAAATTGACGGAAAAAAAACTATAAATTACAATAATTAACAAAATAAATCTCTCGACTCCAACAAATCTATCAATTTAATGCCACATAAATTGGGACATGGCAAATAACATATATTATTAAAAAATTAGGTTCAAAATGTTCTATAAAATACAATAATTAACAACTTAATATATTAAAGAGACATATAAAAAATGGTAATATTTGAAATTTTGCGTGTGCCACATAAATTAGAACAAACAGAGTAATAAATATTTTTTCAAAATTATGTTAAAAAAAAGTACTACAAACCACAGTAGCTAAAAATTTAAAATATTTTTAAAATCATATAAAAATTTCAATAACTTCTCAAATTCCATAATATGACATAAATTAAAATAAAAAAATAATATATATTGGGCCCCGTGCTGGCACGGGGTCCTATATCTAGTACGTTTTAGAATTGTGAAGAATGGGATTCTGTTCCATTTTTCCTTTTCTCTAGGTATTATTTTTTCTATGTTTACTTGAGTCGATGATCTATCGGAAACAACTTTTCTACCCTACAAGTTAGTGGTAAGGTCCGCATACACACCCCACTTGTATGTTGTTGCTTCTATTTTTCTATGTTGAAGGTCCCTATTTAGGTCCATGTACAACTTTGTCCCAATGGATAAACTGAAAACAAGGATTCACCATTTTATTGTTCTTTCAAATCAAAAAGGAAAAATAAAGAGAGAGAAATCAAATAGATATCAAAATGCCTTTTCTCCATGTTAGCAAAACAAACTAACAAGAAATTGAAGAAAGTATATCTATTGAACTCTTGAAGAAATTGAACCAAAAGTCTTTTCAGAAAAAAAAAAAAAAAAGGGTAATATTATAACTCTTGAAGAAATTGAACCACCAATAGTGGAGGCTAATATTGTTCAGTAGATTCTCAGATCAACAATTAAAACAGAAAACAAAAAAATAATCAAAGACAATAAACATTCAATAAAGTAGTGATTCACATACATCAAAATTTAAATATACAAATACCATACATTAATAGAGCATTTTGCTTGTTATTTGGTTCTTTTCAAATATATTTGCACTTGCATAGTTATATTTTTTAGTCTACACTTGTATATCCAATACAACTGATATGAGTTGTGGTGGGATAGTTGAGATTTTTCTACCCTTATTTAAAATTTAGAAGCACTAGTTGTGGAATTTGGAATGGAAAAAAATATGTCAAGAGTGCCCCTAAAATGTGCAAAAATGATTGGATACCTAAAACGAGTAAGAAAATAATATATGCACTATAAAAATATATAACACGTTGCTAATTAAAAAATTTACTATGGAAGAGGTACAACTTGTATTAGTTGTGTGAGGATATTTTTTATTGCAATTATATGCTGATTTATGGGATCTACTCTTGATTTTTATTTCTTTGCCTTTTGTTTCTCTTTCATGGTCTTCTCTTCTTCTTTTTTCTCGTCAGTTTTTCTTTTAAAATAATATATTTGAAAACCAATTCAATTTCTCCTTCAATTTTATAATATAAATAAAAATATATTTTATTTTTTATGGTTAAATAATTACCTAAGATATTAATAGTCAAATTTAAATACGAATATAATTTGTATTCGTATTGTAGGATTAAACCATTTTTCATTTATCGTATTTTAAAATTTTCATCTTTCTAATTCATTTCTTTTTAACTTCTACTTTTAAGATCCATTTAAACATAAAAATTATTTACTTTTTTAAAATAATCTATTTTTAACTCACTTTTCACTTTTGAAATTGTATTAAAGTACATTCAAACATGAATATCATTTCAAATATTTTTTGCAAAAATCATTTCGAATATATATAAGTTTAATAAAATTTTCAATTTAGAAGAAAAACGTTCAAAGTTGAAGAAGAATGATGTTTGGATTTTTTTATCTTTTTTTTGGATATGATGAGCTTAAAGAATAGTGGACTCCATAATTCACTTTATTTATATTATTTAGTATAATTTTATTGGATCATGTCAATTTTAAATTATATTCTCTCTTTCTTCCTAATGTTTGGAGCTTTAAAGTCAAAGAATGGGCCCACTATATCCAAGTGTCAATGAATAAGTGAAGCTCCACACAACTTTTGTTGGTTGTGCTTCTACTATACTAAAATTTGTCGTTGCTAAGTACGAAAATAATATATCCACCTATCTCTCTTTTTTGCTAGTGGTACAACTATGTTTTAGCCACACAAAAAAAAAAAGAAGCAAAAAT